TGTTTGTCATTGTGCTAGATTTAGAATCTGTATTGATTCCTAAATTGGTTAATAACTTGGTTAACTTGTCAATTTTGAGATAAAGATTTTAAATTTAAGATTTAAAGGTAAAGTACCTACTTATAAAATTTAAATAAGTATTTAAATTTTGTATTTAAATAATAGTAATTCAAGGCAGTTTAAAAACAAGATCTCTTGAAAAAATCAAAAAACAAATAAATACGACTTACAGTATAAGATCCTGTAGCATTCTGAAGGCGATTTTTGTCCTTGACTACTGCAGGTCTTGCGGCTCCTTGTTGATGTGAAACGAGTGCCCTTTGATTCTCTGTAGATTTCACAGCTCCCACTGGTTTTCGATGAATCAGGCGAATCACGCAAGATTTTATCCAGGATCGGTAAAATCCTTGGGTTCACTGTTGACCGTACTCGTCACAAGTTGCGAAAAATGTCTTAGATGTTCAATAAGTTTTTATTAGTCGATAGAGTGTTAAAACACAAGTAAAACACGATGTTGTACTTCGACTAATCCTACCAAAACTGCGCCAGTTAAGTTTATTACTTAATAAAAACACTTTTTATTATAAAAGACAAAATTTTATTTTACAACTAAATGGCAGAGTAACGTACAATATGAGATGCAAACAGAGAATAACTTTTACAGAATTACAATTTTTATAAGGAATTAAAAATGCTAACTAAACATATTAAACTTCCAGTGGTGGCGCACATAACTATATATATATATATATATATATATATATATATATATATTAGGGTGGGCCAAAAAAAACTTTTAATTTTCTTTTCTTTAGGTACCATGAAAATATCGTCCAAGATGACGAAAAAAAAATTCTGATAAAGTTTCAGCTCTTAATATCAATATTAGGAGGTGGCTCATCGCGATTTTTTATTTTCCATTTAAATAACACGGGAAAAATACATTTTTTTGTTTGTAATTTTATTGCGTTTTAACGAATCAGTGAGTTGTAGAATACATATTCTTGTAGGGAATTGAACGATCTACAAAAAAGATCTGATATGATTTTTTGCTTAGTCAACTCGTTTAAAAGTTATTTGAGGTTAAAGTTCAACCTCAAAAAGTAAATGAAGACTTTTATAGTTTTTCGTGAAATTTATCGAGTGTCCATCGGTAAAACAATATAATTTTTACGAAATATCAATAATCGTGAAAAAAAGTTTTTTTTTCTATACTTGATTTAAAAAAAAATCGATTTTTTTTACATAAGTAATGACAAAAAAAATTAATCATTTTTTTCAAAAAATAATAAATATTCTATTTACACTTGACTATTAGGTAATAAAAGCCATGTTTCAATAATTTATCAATTAAAATAAACATTTTTTATTTTAATTGAAAAATTATTGAAACATGACTTTTATTACTCTACATTACCTAAGTCAAGTGTATACACTTTATAAATAGCATATTTATTATTTTTTAATGATTATTTCCCTCATTATAATATGAACCAATCAAAAGCCTTGAATTTTCGAATAAATTTCGTTTAAATAAGCGATTAAATCACTGGAACTATTTAACAGCGATTAAATTTTAGCCTCCATATTGGATTTTTGTTTACGATTTTATGGTGTTATTTACAAGTTTTAAAAAACATTTTTTAAAAAACAATAAAAAATAAGTTTACGAAATATCAATTATTACTTATTACATACCTTATAATAATAATCTAGACGTATATCACTTAACCTATAAATTTAATCTGTCAAACTATGCTCAGTAAGTTTTTTATTTGATTTTTCTTATTGGAAAATAGTTTCATGCAAAATAATTAAAAATAAAACCCCTCGACCGCTACGCGGTCTCGTGATTTTATTAAATTATTTTGCATTCAACATTTTCCAAGAAAAACCAAACAAAAAACTACTGAGCCTAGTTTAACCGATTGAATTCATAGTTCTCGTGATATAATATATGATTAATTTTTTTGTCTCAGGTAAAGAAAAAATTTTGAATTAAAAAAAAAATTAAATATAGGAAAAAAACGTTTTTTTCACGGTTATTGATATTTCGTAAAAATTGTATTGTTTTACCGAAGAACACTCGATAAACTTCACGAAAAATATAATATTTCATGTTTTTGAGACAATATTTCGTGATAGAGTATGAAAAACTATAAAAGTCATCATTTACTATTTGAAGTTGAACTTTAACCTCAAATAACTTTTAAAAGAGTCGACTATGCAAAAAATCATATGAGATCTTTTTTGTAGATCGTTCAATTCCCTACAAGAATATGTATTGATTTCTACAACTCACTGATTCGTTAAAACGCAATAAAATTCCAAACAAAAAAATGTATTTTTCCCGTGTTATTTAAATGGAAAATAAAAAATCGCGATGAGCCACCTCTTAATATTGATATTAAGAGCTGAAACTTTATCAGAATTTTTTTTTCGTCATCTTGGACGATATTTTCATGGTACCTAAAGAAAAGAAAATTAAAAGTTTTTTTTGGCCCACCCTAATATATATATATTAGGGTGGTCCTTAATAAGGTTATTTTCAAATTTCTTTGCTCCCAGGGGCTCAAATACTTCCAAATTGATAAAAAAATTCCCTGAAAATTTGAGCTCTTAATATTAACTCTAAGATAGTGCGCATTCCAATCTAAGTTTCCTATGGAAATAACATAGGAAAAATTACTTTTGTTGTTTATAATTTTATAACTTGGGAACGAATGAATTAAAAAATATAAATCATACATATTTTTATAGAGAATTTAACGCTCTACAAAAAATGTTTTCTATAATTTTTCCATTAGTCTATTAGTTTAAAAGTTATTCAACGCCAAAGTTTAATTTTCATATTATTATTAATATTATGAAGGCTTTTTTATGAGGCGCCGTTTGTGTCAAAATTAAAAGTGCTAAATAAACTTATTTTGTTTTATAAATAATTAATTATATGCTTTACCAAATAATTTTTTTATAAAAAAATTATTTTATTTTTTTTTTTTCTAAAAAATTTTATAAAATATTTTTTTTTATAAAATAATTCTTTTTTATAAAATTATTTTTCTTGATTTTTAGTTTTGTTTTATGGGAATTGATTTATTTATTTTAATTTGTTTTCAAGAGAATTATTTTATTTATTTATTTTAGTTTTTAACAAGTGCTTTCTTATAAAAAACGTTTAAACATAAAAAATTCTTGTTAAAAACTAAAAATCAAAATAAATGTAGATAAAAAAATAATAAATTATTATTTTCAATCGTTTCCCCAAATTGCGTCAAACAAAAGCCCAGTCCGTCATAAAATTGTATCTGGGGAGGGGCGTTCGGGTTTACTCGTGTGTCTACAAACAAATAGAGATGGCTGCAGTAAAAATTAATTTATAAATGCGCCCGTCGTCTTTTATAAAATAATTTTTGATTCGCAGAAAATTATTTTATAAAAAAATAATTTTATAAAAAAGAATTATTTTATAAAAAAGAATTATTTTATAAAAAAATTATTAAAAAAAAAATTATTTTATAAAAAAATAATTTTATAGAAAAATTATTTTATAAAATTTTTTACAAAAAAAAATTATAAAAAAATTATTTTATAAAAAATTGCTTTATAAAATTTTTTACAAAAAAAAATTATAAAAAAAAATAATTTTATAAAAAAATTATTTGGTAAAGCATACCTATAATTAATTATTTATAAAACAAAATAAGTTTATTTAGCACTTTTAATTTTGACACAAACGGTGCCTCATAATATTAATAATAATATGAAAATTAAACTTTGACGTTGAATAACTTTTAAACAAATAGACTAATGGAAAAATTATAAGAGACCTTTTTTGTAGAGCGTTAAATTCTCTATAAAAATTTGTATGATTTATAATTTTTAATTCATTCGTTCCCAAGTTATAAAATTATAAACAACAAAAGTAATTTTTCCTATGTTATTTCCATAGGAAACTTGAGATTGGAATGCGCACTATCTTAGAGTAAATATTAAGAGCTCAAATTTTCAGGGAATTTTTTTTAATTAAGTTGGAAGCATTTGAGCCCCTGGGAGCAAAGAAATTTGAAAATAACCTTATTAAGGACCACCCTAATATATATATATATATGATATAAGTACATTTGTGGATTTTTATTTCAATTTCTTGCGATTTAAAGAGTAGGTATATTTAGTATATTTTATATAAATTGTGTTTGATTTGGATTTATCAAAATATTTTACTTAAAAGAATATTAATTTAATTTATATTACCCATCGCAATTAAAATAAACTCGCTATTAACTCGAACCATTAAAGCGCACAGTTGTTTCTTGATATTAGTTTAACCTAATTAATTAATTACAATATGATTTATGGTACAGCGTAACGCAGTAGTTACATCGATGTAGGTACATGAGAATGAAATTTTATTGATTTAAAAATTAATATTGCAAGTGGCGGCTCTTTGATGCTTTGCAAAATTGTGCCCTATCCAAAACATGTTGGCTAACTTTTTGTAAAACTTAAAGTTTATGGCCCGGAATTCAAGCAAAATACTCTTTTTTTAATTAGGAGATGATAGACAATTTTTGAGGTGAATAATTGACACAACACAACAATTATTGTGGTAAGTCAGCGATCATCCCTCAAAAAACAATATTTATAAATAAATAATATAGGTACCAAATATAATAGCATTTAAACCAAAAACGTTCGTTTCGCCTCCTTGTATTTAAATATATAAAATCTGTATTTAATATTAAATCAATAAAATGTTAATACCTAATATTATTAATATTTCGTTTTATGCATAATAATTGGTGTAAGGCTGGTAACTTAATACCTAAAACCTATTATAATTGTATAAGCTTAATATCCTTATAAACACAAATTAAAATAATGTTAGATTTAGTTTGTTTAATGGAATATTTCAGATTTTTTACCACTGTGCAAATACCTACCATGTAATCAATCCACTTTAAAATAAATGTCATATAATGAAATCTAAGAATTCAAGTGCCAACGTTCATTGGAGTGATATTCAAACGTGTCAGTTTTTGATTGTTGATTTTTTATACTTGCAATGATTTTATTGTTATTTACTGCATTCATTGTAATATTATGTTATGTAATTAATCAAATAAGGAAGCCTCGAAATTTTCCACCAGGTAAGCAAAAAACTATTAATTAATTAGTTTTGGGTAATTAGTTATTATATTTTTTTATAATACATAATATTTGAGTAGATACCTATTATAAATTAGACGACATTTTCTATTGATGGTATTATAACTAATTAAGATAAATTGAGAAAGAAAATTTGCTAATTGTTAAATTTTACATTTACATAATATTATAATTTGGTGTTATTTGTGATATCTTGGATATCTTTTTCTGACGTTTTTAATTTACGTAAAAATCGGATTGTGGGCAACAACCTTTGGCCATAGAAGCGTGCAATTGATAGTTATTTATGTCCTAGGGCTGAGAAGTGAGTCTTTTTGTGCTGAACTCACTAACTAAACTAAGCAGAAAAATATTAAGTCATTGTAAGTAACATTTTAGCAAAAATAAAGTTGCTTACCTTGTATGGTAGTAGCGGGGGTAGAAGTGATCGAGCCTCATAGAATCCAAAGGACAGAAAACAGTAAAACACATGAGAACTTAATAAGTGAGCCTAAACATTATGTCGCAAAGTAGGTACTATAAGGTAAGGTCCCAACAAACAATCGTCCGTCGGCCGCTAGCCCTGTTGTAAATGCCATATAAAATCATATATGAAAAATCACTGCTGGTCCCTTTATGATTTCTGAAACAGACATTCCATTTAGGACCATATTGGAAAAGCAAAAGGGAATTACATATATGTTCCCTAATGACAATTACTGGGGTTCCATGCAATGTGCCAGACATTCCATTTAGGACCATATTGGAAACGCAGTAGGAAATTACATATACGTTCCCTAATGAAAATTACTACAGTTCCATCCAATGTGCCTTATTGATTCCGAGAAGTTTCATATATGTATTTTAATGCCATTCCATGTTGCTTCCATCTATTGCTTACCTAATTGCATATAAGTTTTTAAAGGCGTGTCCATTCCAAGAGTGCAATCTTGTTTAAAGATTTTAAAATGAATTCTTCTTAAAAACGAAAAAATACTATACACTTGTACGAAGAATTTTTGCTGCATAATAAATACCATCAAAATACTTTATATTTTTTTATAGTTGATGGGAAATGCAATTTTTTTAATATCCTTAGAATTTACAATTTTTGAACATTATTTTTTAAAATTTTGGGTAAATATGGGTATATATCGCTAGGTATATGGCATTTTCTATGTGCCATATAAATAAGTAGAAAAACATATAAAAAGAACTTGTATAAGTAATTTAACTATAAAACCAGATATGAAAATTTAAGAAAATCCATATTATAATATGGATTTTCTTATAAATTACTTTATAAATTATGTCATATTCATATATATGGGCAGATCCATTACTTTTCGACAAAAGTGTGCGGGGGTAAATCACCGATTTGGCTGCCGATTTTTTTCTCGAAAGTAGGTCATATAAGGAGACGATCCTGAAAATTTGAGCTCGATATAGGTAATTCCGGTTGCAAGAGAATTTTTTGAAATATAAAAAAAGTCGATTTTTTAGTCATTTTCAAAAATTCGTATCTCAGCTCTTATTTAACTTAGAGATTTGATCAAGACGGCATTTTTCTCTGTTATCCCTCTATTTTCAAGAAAAAAATAGGTTTTAAGTTTAAACTCAAATTCGGCTAAGCTGTAAGCCTCCAAATAAAACACTGCTTAAGATAAATTTTGCCAATTTTTAAAGTGCTCTCAAATCCACAGTTTTTGAAGCAGTGGAATAAATGACAGATGATATTTTTCGTTAAGGTATACTCTGTTGGAATTTACCCATTTTTTACTTGATTGCTTCGATTTTTCTAATGTATGGCCACTCAAAGACAATTGATTTTTGAAAAATCGCTGTTTTCAGATACCTACAACTTTTTTCTATCGATCCGAAATCCTTTGATAATTTCAGGGAAATAGGTTTTAAGTTTAAACTCAAGCTGCAAGCCTCCAAATAAAACACTGCTTAAGAAAATTTTTATCAATTTTTAAAGTGCTCTCAAATCTACAGTTTTTGAAGCAGTGGGATAAATGACAGATAATATTTTTCGTTAAGGTATACTCTGTTTGAATTTACCCATTTTTTACTTGATTGCTTCTATTTCTCTCTGTATGGCCACTCAAAAACAACTGATTTTTGAAAAATCGCTTTTTTCAGATACCTACAACTTTTTTCTATCGATCCGAAATCCTTTGATAATTTCAGGGATTATACTTTATTCTATCCCCAAACAACCCATCAAAACTTTTCCTTGGGTATTGAAGTGGTTTCCGAGCTATGAATATTTAAAAATGTCAAATTTTCAATATAATATGACATTTTTGGTAGTTTTATTATCAGTTAAATTCGTAATAAATTAATTGATATCTGTCGGTAAGCATTAAATTAATTATCATTATAGGCTGGCTGCACATTATGAACAAGGTCTAATGGATTATTGACTAAAGTATTACTAATAATTCAATTAACTGATAATAAAACTACTAAAAATGTCATATTATATTGAAAATTTGACATTTTTAAAAATTCATAGCTCGGAAACCACTTCAATACCCAAGGAAAAGTTTTGATGGGTTGTTTGGGGATAGAATAAAGTATAATCCCTGAAATTATCAAAGGATTTCGGATCGATAGAAAAAAGTTGTAGGTATCTGAAAAAAGCGATTTTTCAAAAATCAGTTGTTTTTGAGTGGCCATACAGAGAGAAATAGAAGCAATCAAGTAAAAAATGGGTAAATTCAAACAGAGTATACCTTAACGAAAAATATTATCTGTCATTTATCCCACTGCTTCAAAAACTGTAGATTTGAGAGCACTTTAAAAATTGATAAAAATTTTCTTAAGCAGTGTTTTATTTGGAGGCTTGCAGCTTGAGTTTAAACTTAAAACCTATTTTTTTCTGGAAAATAAAGGGATAACAGAGAAAAATACCATCTTGATCAAATCTCTAAGTTAAATAGGAGCTGAGATATGAATTTTTGAAAATGACTAAAAAATCGTCTTTTTTATATTTCAAAAAATTCTCTTGCAGCCGGAATTACCCATATCGAGCTCAAATTTTCAGGATCGTCTCCTTATATGACTTACTTTCGAAAAAAATGAACAAGGTCTAATAGATTATTGACTAAAGTATTACTAATAATTCATTTAACTGATAATAAAACTACCAAAAATGTCATATTATATTGAAAATTTGACATTTTTAAAAATTCATAGCTCGGAAACCACTTCAATACCCAAGGAAAAGTTTTGATGGTTTGTTTGGGAATAGAATAAAGTATAATCCCTGAAATTTTCAAAGGATTTCGGATCGATAGAAAAAAGTTGTAGGTATCTGAAAACATTGATTTTTCAAAAATCAATTGTCTTTGAGTGGCCATACATTAGAGAAATCGAAGCAATCAAGTAAAAAATGGGTAAATTCCAACAGAGTATACCTTAACGAAAAATATCATCTGTCATTTATTCCACTGCTTCAAAAACTGTAGATTTGAGAGCACTTTAAAAATTGGCAAAATTTATCTTAAGCAGTGTTTTATTTGGAGGCGTACAGCTTAGCCGGATTTGAGTTTAAACTTAAAATCTATTTTTTTCTTAAAAAAAGAGGGATAACAGAGAAAAATGCCGTCTTGATCAAATCTCTAAGTTAAATAGGAGCTGAGATACGAATTTTTGAAAATGACTAAAAAATCGACTTTTTTTATATTTCAAAAAATTTTCTTGCAGCCGGAATTACCTATATCGAGCTCAAATTTTCAGGATCGTCTCCTTATATGACCTACTTTCAAGAAAAAAATCAGCAGCCAAATCGGTGACTTACCCCCGCACACTTTTGTCGAAAAGTAATGGATCTGCCCATATATATAAAAAACTGACCATATATGCAATTCATATCAGATGGTTTTCTATATCAATTCCAGACATATAAAACCATATAAACACATGTGTGCAGAAATATGTGTAAATAATTAACTGCACTACAGAAATTGATAAGGAAAACCATATAAATTCATATATATGATCAGAATATTCTGATTTCATATTAAAACCATAGTGCCATATAACAAAATATAAATACCTATAGAAACACTGTGCGGATTATATATGTTTCTACTGGTCATTTTTAACAGGGAGGAGACAACTGATTTTCGCATTTTTTCATCGGGCCGACCCCTGGCAAAAATGAAATGTGCAAAAAGTGTGCAAAATTATTTGAGAACAATGTGCCATCAATGTGCATTTTTTTTTAAATAATGTGCGGAGGGTGGGAAAAGGAAAATGAAACAATGTGCTAACCCAAAAATTTAAAAGTGTGAATCAATGTTCCTTTTGATTTTTCACATTGTTTGCACACTGTTTCTTGCCACCTTTTGTGTGCCTACTACAGAAACAGATTCTCCTTGGTGACCTCCAAAGTCTTTAAATTTACACTTAATTAAAAAAAAATTGTAATAATAATATTAACCTATTAAATTTTTTTTTTTATTAAAAAAAAATACCCACAATGTAGGTCCTACATACTGTATTTACCTGCACTGTCAACTTCACGACGGGGATATCCCCGCAATATTGCTTTGATCTTAGCCATAGGCCGAGAAGCGTGACAAATGACAAATAAAAAGCGTGATGTCAATGTGCATAAAGAGTGAAAAAACTTAATTATTTCAAAAAGTGTAACATTACCACAAAATAGCGTGTATGAAAATTGTTATAAAGACTTGCACTCCAAATACAGGCTTATTGCACACTTTTCATTCACGCTTTATTTTCGCCAGGAACGTTAATCCAACGTCCAACAAACTAGCATCGCGACGCGTCGGTGCAATGTCGGCAAATAATAATAAATTTCCGACGTCAATACAACGAGCGGTCCAACGTTGGCAAACCACCGTCAATCTAACGTTGTACCGACGTCGGCAACGATAATTATCAATTATTATTATTATTATAATCAATTTTCGACGTCGGCAACGATAATCAATATTTGACGTCTATCCAACGTTGGACCGACGTT